TATGCACAAATGTGCTTGATACAAGGGATGGATAACACTCCAAATGCCTCTCCCTTTCAGTTTGTGAATTGAATAAAGGAATATATATTTGTTGGGAATACTGTATGGTTATGAAGGAAAGCTGAAGTCTCGGCTCAGTTATTCAAATATTAACTGGATAAACATAGGCATGTCCTCGAAGCCCCATGTTTTCTTCCATGGAGGTATCAACACTAACATCTAGAAATGTGCGTTGTTAATAGGAAGGCATAAGTAACTTTACCAATATAAAGCGTTTAGTGCATAGGTAATGTGCTTACAAATATATGTAACAACTCATAATCTGATGAATTGTCAAGCTCTGTCAACAGTATCTCATATTCATGTATTTGAGTAGAGAAGTACTTGGGTCTAATTGGGATTAATTTTGTATGCAATGTAAATTTGCTGTAGTTTTATTTCTTGCATGATCTTTAAGGTAAGTGCAGAGCAAAACCAAACCACAGAAAGAGCCCTTCCCTTGAAGGTTCTAATCTTTGATGGAGGCTTGGAAGGGCGGGCCTTATCTCTTCCCTTAATAGTTTGGCCCATTTCTTGTATAGATAAAGCACAGACTCCCTGCTGCGGAATGCCAGGGCGAAGCCCTCCCAGGGGGTCTTGGCTTTCCTCTTAACGTCCTCAGATAGCCTTTCCAGGGGAGCAGGGATGCTGGCTTCAGTGGAGCTCCCTTGTCTGTGAAATAAATGGAAAATTCCTCTCAGTGAGAAGTATTTGACCTTGTTATCAGATGGCGCAGGCTGGGTTAATCAAGCGACCCCCTTCTGGAAGGGTTCCACCCGTCTTCCTTTCAGTTCTCTGGCCAGTGGGAAAGGCCCACTGGCCCTTCACTGGCCTCATCAGAGAGAGTGCCTCCCTTGAGGCCAGCTGCTCAAGGGTGGGGCAGCCCTTTCCCTTGACCACCGTTATTCCCTAACTTCGCTCTGAATCTGCTGTGGTGAGCAGATTTGTCCCTGGCTCTCTTGGAGGAAGGAAAAGACAACATGCTCCATCTTCTGACTAAGGTGTTGGATGTTGTGCTGGGGAGATAGGGAGCAAACACGTTGCCTTTCAGAATCCTCAGAGGGCATGGCATGTAAAGTGGGCCGTAGGGAAAGGTCGCCCACACAGACCCACAAAATGATCTCCGACAATTTCCTCCTC